GGGGGGGGGGGGGGGGGGGGGGGGGGGGGGGGGGGGCAAATTGCCCCGGGCCCCGAGTTGCTGGGGGCCCCTGAAAAATTTTTGTTGGGCCCCAGCCCTTTTTGTGTGTTAAATATTTCCGCGCAAAGGACAAGAGATCTGTTTTCTTGGGCTAAGTACCGAATTTTGGCACAAAAGAATGAGATAAAGTCCCTTGAAAGCAATTGCAATGAACTCGTCTGGAAAAATTTTGTACTCCGGAAAAAATTTTTGACCCCTAAAATGGTACACTGACCGAAAATTTTTTGGCGGCGGGGGGGGGGGAGGTTGTTCTCCCGAAAAAAATTTTCTAGGGGCCCCTAAAAAAAATTTGCCCCGGGCCCCCGCCAACCTCTCGGCGGCCCTGGCTACACTTACGTAGGCATGTCCAAAGATCGCATCTTCACGTGATAGCGCACGTGATTTTTTTGTTATTCGCCGGTCGATAATGTATTATCTCCCTCTCGCGCTGTTGCGAGGGAGACAGTCTAATTTCGTCGCTCTCACGTGATATGCTCTCAACCAATAAAACACTAGAAAAATGCGACTTTGACTATTGATATATAATAATGATCTTTATTTCATTGCACTAGCTTTTATAGCTTTTACGTTACATGAAGTCAAACAGTGCCCAGTTTTTTTTGGAAACACCCGGTAGAGGCCAGGTCTAATAAACGTATATAAATTTCCACTCGATAATTTCCATCTATACAAGACCCTTCAACTTCATAGACACACTGATCTGAAACTAGCACTGGATTGACGATCCTATTGAATTCAATGCAGGGCATTTTTTAACTATATAACTACTACTGAGGCATTTACCCCAGTAGGCCCTTTGCTTGCCCCAGTAGTGAAGTATGATTTCAGACGAACTGGGCCCTTTTGATCATTATAGTAAAAGATCAACCTTGTTGGAAAATCTGTATCTGCCTGCTTTCTCATATCCTCTCACATTCTCGACGTTAATTACCTCTTATAAAAGTCAGCACATGCAGGGGCTGCGTTAAAAGTGGGTTGTGGGTGTGGAACACCCCCAATCGTCAGGTAGTCGACAAATTATCTAATCCCAATTGGATGAAAAGAAATACTAATTAGTGTTTGAAATAGTAGGCAATATTTCACTTACACCCACCCACGCGGCCACGCCCCTATATTCAAATAGCGCTAGCGCTGCCCCTGAGCACAAAGTGATTTTTATGTACCAGTATAAACTGTGTGGGGGTGGGGGGGGGGGAGGCCCTCATTGAGACTAAGCCCCAGTAGTTGTAATTTCTTAAAAAATGCCCTGATTCAATGAGCCAATTTCGAAACACCAGAAACTGCAGATTGTGAGGGTTACACCTACCTGAAAAATACAAGCAAACCTTCGTCTTCGACGTTTCGAGAGGTCTTTCATCGGGGAGTTAGTAGAGACGAGAAGTCATTGCTCAAAACGTCGAAGTTTTGCCTGTATTTTTCAGGTATAAACATCGTTGTATCTTTATCTACAAATGCACTAATGGACTGCTAGATTTCGACTTTAATCTCACAACTAACAGCAGAATCCATTCCCACAGCACAAGATCGTGTAACAACCTCCATCTCCCGAAAGTCAACATGAACTGGGGTAAACGTAAACCAACCTTCCTCGCTTCGAAAGACTTTAACAACTTGGACGTTTCTGTCAGAAACACTGATTCTCTGACTCAATTTAAGTCATTACTTGGGTCACATACCATATAACTATTCCTAGTTGTACTTATTAGATATAGTTATAATTATTCGTTTCTTTATGTCATGACGTTGTATATTATTAATTGTATATATTTATATATTTATATAAGTAAATTTTGTTAATGATTGTATCATGTAGGACCCCACTGAAAAACACATTAGTGATGTGGATATCCTGGATAAATATAATTATAAATAAAAAAATAAAAAATAAATAAGTATAGTTGAATCGCTATCCATCTCAATTTTGTGGTGTTTTTGCATGGTACTGCCTACGCCGTCACAGATCATTTTGATACACATTACTAATATTGAATGAGAAACGCTCTAAAAACACTCGGATTAAAATTTCCTGGCGAACACCTAGAAATACAAGTAGTTGGGTTAACTTATCATATTCCTGGCTAAAAGGAAATTATTATTAAATTGTATTAATCATTCTATTTTATGCGGTAAGTAATTAATATGTCTGCATGTGATGCATCTATTGGCATCATTGAACACAATTTAAATTGATATAAAATAACTACAAAACTAATCGCAAACAAGTCGTCTTTGAATACAAATAAAATTGGAGTATATCTTGGTAAGTTCTGTACATTACTTGTCTAATACGGACTGAAATCAGGTTCTATTAAGATATGTTTAATTCTTGTTATATTTGCAAAATCTCAGTTTATGATATCTGTCAAAACATAAGATTGTTAACTTGAGTCAATGTAACTTTCAGTCTTAACTTTGCACATCGCTCAACGGGTCAGTCAAGATCCTGGTTTCATTTTTTTGGTTAGATGATCTTGTTCTATGCAGAAAAGCTAAAAAGTTGATATACTTACATTAAAGTGATGCTTTCGTTCACTGCAACAACTATAGCACGCTTGGATGACTATTTATATAAACAGGCCACCTAACTTTCACGTTCATTGCCCACAAACGTAGTTCTGGATCTCTCTCCCAGAAAAGTATTGAATTCTCCAGTTCGCCTCTTTCAGAGTAACAGAGCAAGAAGGAGGAACGTTGTTCCCAAACATGGGTTAAAACAATTGTTAATTTTACAAATGCCATGATGAAATGCTACCCGCCGGGCTGTATGACCTTCTGGTACTTTTATTGTGGATTTTAAGTTACCTTCTGTTGAGTATATTTGAACAGCGCTGCAATCAACTGATACTATCATGATGTCATTGTTGTTAGAAATACTCAAGCTGGATAGGTCATCTCCATCTCGTTTAAACTGAAATTTCAACTTTCCTGTGTTTTCACAGATATATACCTGGACCTGGTGATTCCCACTTGTCAGCATGATTAGGTCTTGGTTTTTGTCAACAGCGATGTTAACATATAGACAAGCTCTTTCTTCAAGGAAATCCAATACAGAGACATGCTTGATGTTGTAATTCTCGTCAAAAGCGAACAACATAAAATCTTTATCACTGCCATTGTTATCATTTGTCGTAAGCCGTGTTACAGCATACACATTGTCATTGCTATCAACAGCAACATCCATTCTCCGTTGTGCAACAACGTTACTTTCTGTGGGAACGGGAAGCATAACATCCTTGCTTTTACCTGTGCTGTAAATAACCGTGATTTTGTCATCATCTAGTAGAATAATTTCACCACGGCTATTCACAGCAAACTCAGTCGAATCAACAGCCACTCGGTTCAGTTGTTGAACAAATTCTTCACTACTGGACGTCTTTTTCACAATTTCCCTTGCGTTTAGGATTGGATGAAATGTACGATGGTTCAACTCTATTCCAGGCCAGGTAAATAGGTAGGGAGATTTCCTGCTATACTTGGAAGCGAAATCATATAAAGCATGATTGATGAACAAAACAGACATTATGTTTTCTAAACGTTCAGCTTTCATCACCTTTGATATCAGTCCTCCCTTGAGAAAAACTGCGAACATTTCTTGGATTGCTGGTAAACCATGTAGCTCTTTAAGTGACGACAAACAGGCAGTAGTTGCGGCTTCCGGATCTTCAAGACCAGATTCAAGAATTCTTGCTGTCATACGCAACTTGCAAGCCATAATTCGATCTTTGATGCTCAGAGATTTGTTGTTGAAAGCATGTGTGGCTGCCTTACGAGACTATTTGAAACAGTCTTGAGCATCGACGAACCGCTTATCGGACGAGATTTTCAATCTTTGAATCGCTCGAGGAAGTGATAAGGCTGCATTCAAAATACCAGATGCTGCATGTATCATTCATAACTCTTGTTGCTTCGTCTGTTGGACCCTCGCTCGCTTTCTGATCTTCATTCTACTCATCAAGGGCAAGATTCAACAATTCCACACCTTCTTTCAGGAAACTATAACTGGCATCGAGATCTTTAAGCGACAGACAGTCCAATTTCGACTTGATATCGGTCAAATCCTTAACAATTATTTCACGCAATTTTTGATGTTTTTGAGATAAGTAATATTTATTTATATAATTGCATCCAATTTGAAATTCTAAGCAGTTTCGATACAAAGACAGAATTGAAAAGAGCAATGGGTCAAAAATGGGAGCTGAAACTATATTTAACATTTCAATGGTGATTATTGGACGCATGACTTGTCGTTGTGTTATTATGAAACAGTGCGTCAGCATAATTCACACAAGTTTAGAATTTAGCAAAGTTGAATTACAGTGTTGATTTAGTCAAGTGAAGTTGATTTCAGTAGCTAGAAAATAGACAATATAGGAAATGTTTGCATGCTTCAATAAAGCAGAATATTCAGAAGTTAATAGTTTCGGTCATTTAAAGGAATGCAGTTGAATTGAAAAGGAAAGGGTGCAGGAATTGTATTAAAGATCTCAATAACAACCACTGGACTGTTTTGACTGTTGTTGTAGTCTTTAACCAGGCTCTTCCTGGATTTCGATAATGAGTTCACAAAGATTAGGATTGATGATTAGAGTTTGGTTTATGGAGTTAGGATTGCGAGGATTAGTTTATAAAGTCAGAATTCAGAACCTCTTCGGGACAAAGGTTTTTAAGACTGAAATTTTATATCCCATGATGTTTCTGATGTTACTCTGAGTGTGTATCCACACCGGGCTGGCTGAGAAGTTTGCCTGACCACGGTGGGAATCGAACCCGGGACCTTTGGAATACTGGTCCAATGTGGTCAGACAAAACTTTTCAGCCTGCCCGGTGTGGATACACACACTCAGAGTAACATCAGAAACATCATATTCACCTGAGTATATAACATCGAACACACACACAAAAAATATCATGATCATAAGAACACATTGGTATCGAAGGAACTAAACTCAGTTCGGAAATATCACATACTCGAACCGACTTGACATCGTAGCTCAGTTGACAGAGCATTGGATTAGTATCCCGAAGGTCGCGGGTTCGATTCCCATCGTGGGGAGGCAAACTTTTCAGCTTGCCCAGTGTGGATACACATTTAGTACAAGCATCACAAACATCATATTCACTTGAGTACATAACATCGAACACACACACAAAATACCATGTTTATAGGCCATGTTTATAAACGAGGCAACTTTTACTGGTACACAATATAGAAACCAGGTATTTTTTCCAAAATCTCCGGCATAGAAGCGTACTATTAAACTGTATCTGGTCAATTTTGATTGGCCGTTTAGAAAAGTACCAAGTCAATATGTCAATCATTCTGTAAATATCTAAATGCCTATTTCTACAGACTGTAGTGAGCAAAACATGACATAAATTGCAGTGGTTTATAGCTAAGGGAGAAACAGTGTATGAGCCCGTCTTTTTTTGAAATTTATTGCACGCTATTAATGATTGACTTGCAAAGTCTTTCTTGAAAAACATGTCCAATGTATAAACGTTTCAATGTGGTGTTTCACAAAGTTTTAACCCAACTATGAGAACTGGACTAGATCAGTTTCAAGTCCGCGTAATTTGACCAATTCCGAGGCAAAGTCGAGGACTGAATCAAAATGCGAGGACTGAAATCTAGTCCAGTCCGAATTGGAGGATTTGAAATGACATCTCGTACGAATAAATCACTACTTGTATATTGATTACATTTTCAGATCACAGCAGTACGGCAGTATATAGCAGATATTTTAGACAACTCAGACAAGAAATTCTTGGTCTTCGCTCACCATGTCGACGTGATGAAAGCAATTGAACAGGAGGTGGTGAAAAGACGGGTGAAGTATATCAGAATCGCTGGCGATGTTCGTTCCGTACTTAGAGGGGTAATATTCTTGTTGAGATTCTCCATGTTTTTATTTTATTACTGCATGGGTTGCAGCAAGCGTTATACGTTACAGCACAGCAGATGGTAGTCAACTTTACAAGTACTAGTTAAAACATGAGCAGACGATCTTTATCTGATATAAAAACTCGAGCCGAAGGCGAGAGTTGTATATCAGATACAGATCGGATGAGAATGTTTTAACATGCTTAAAAAACGACCCATCTTATGAGTTCATTGGCGAAGTTGTTTTAAAAATAAACATTGTTTAAGCGAGAAAATCAAAGCTGAAGTTTATGTAAATTAGGACAAATCTTTATCCGATTTACAAACATTGACTAAACATTCATTTTTTTTGTATTTCCCTCGTGAATTTAATGAGTTTTATAAATGTCGATACTTATAGGAGCAAGAAAATTAAACTACATCTTTCAATTCTATTTATTTGCCTCCAAATACAAGACTACTACATATAATGAAAAGGATGAACATTATTTTCTCACTCTGATAACTGCAGGTTGACCAACATCTGCTGGTGATATAGTGCTCAGTGAAACCCAGCTATAAAAATACAAAGAATCGCTTAGCAATTATATTTCATTTCACAGTCACTCGTGCACCAGTTTCAAACTGATAGTTCAACACGTGTCGCCATCTTAAGCATCTTGGCTGCTTCGATGGTAAGTTTCGTTGTTTATAATTCTTGGAAAAATTATTTTGACAAACCTATTCTAATTATGTCATTTTCAGATTCTTCACATGCCTAGTTACCTTTGTTCTGATAATGTAAACATAGAATAAAGCAAAGGTTACTACGCAGTAAAAGTCTCACAACTTGTCAACAAGATGTGTTCGCAACAAGATTGTAGCAAGCTTGTCAACAAGTTGTAACAATGCTGTTATTTTATCAAGTTGCTACAAGGTTGTCACTCACAACTTGTTGACAAATAGTTGAATTGCA